CGAACGTAATGACATCTTTCTTAATTTTCGTCAACTGCGCAGTTAACTTCGTCACATCGGACTACTAAATTGATCCGTGCTGAGGCCTTCCTTCTTTTCGGAGGTGTTGATTGAACTCGTGTAATAAACATACCTACATTACTTCAGTGCAAAAAACGTAACAAAAGAGGTAAATATCATTTAGATTTAACGTGGAGTCTGACAAAGGTTTTGCTTAACAAACGCATGAATATCATAGAAATGTTTATAGTCTTAGTTTCCAAAGTATCCTCTAAAAATGCTGAAAGGTTACAAAAGAGAAGACTATCTTGTCATCTCTTTTGTAACCTTCAGCTAATAATTTTGCATTTCTAGATATCCTATAGTTACCATAATTTCATTCTTCCGCATTTTCCATTTTGTTATCGAACTACTGTTTTAAACCGAATGGGCAAATTGAGAGGGATACTAAAATGTTATCGGTCATGTCGACTAGTCGACAGTGGGAGCGGGACACGAATTAAAAACTACTATCTGATAGCATAAAACATAATAAATCTTCATACAAAAAAGAATAAAATAACTGAACTCTTCAAAATTTTATAAATTGAAAGATTTCTTACCCATTGTTATGCCATTCTTTTTCCCTTTTTCCATTGAGAAAAAATTTAACCTTTAAACAAAATAAAATTATGTTAATCAGTTATTAAATAAACAACATCAGCGCAACAAAAAAACTTTCGTAATATTAGTCATTTCATTTCCTAGTTTGAGTTGAGTAATTAACTCAAAGCTTTTAATTAGTGAACATCATTTTACTAAGTTTTACTTAAATCGCTTTCAAGTTTGTGAGGAGGTAATCTTGGAACTGAAATTTTGATCACTTTCTGACTAGGTGAAGCTCTCAAATCTTTATTGGAGTTGAAAAATGATAAAAATGCAAATTACTATCATTTCCAGAATATATAGTCATTTCTTTACCAAAATGAAAGTCATTGTGAGTCGAAATTCTGACCGAATTCCGACAGGAAAGAGTTCTTAAATCTCCACTGCAGCTCCGTTCTGATGACAATACAGGCTACAGTCATTTTATAACTGCTACAAACAAATTCTCTTTCCATATTATCCCTAAATGGAATTTATCGGCAGTCCAATAGAGCATTTTGATCGCTTTCCGACTAGCTAGAATGCCCAAACTTTAACTGAAGCTGAGCTGACAAAACATACGTAAGTGGGTTTTTGACCTTTAAAAGCAGAATTTATATTGACAAAAAAAAAAAATTTGCGAATATTATCCACTTTCCAGTATAAAGAAATAAGTAAATAATTAACTAAAACAAGAAAATAATAAAATATTTGAAAATTGCGTTTTTACAAGCAGGATAAAAAAAAAAGAGAGAAAATTATTTTTGCTAAACGGAAATCGGAAAACTTATTGCTCACCACCACCCTCACATCTATCAAAAGTGATGCGCTCTTACACTTTTCGTTTTAGATTTGACAAAAATGCCTTCTTTGTCTACTAAAGGAAATTTTTTTTAAATGTTTATTTTATTGTTATTAGGCAATATAGTGTCTAATAACAACGGATAAAACATTTTTTTTTTAAATTTTCAAGCAAATATGTGGGGTTTTTTTAAGACTTAAGATTTATCGATATAAAAATGCATTAATGTTACTGCATAATAAATTGATTCATCCTTACCCAGATACATAAAGAGCTAAGTCCCAATGATTTGGATCATTATCGGAATCTGGATTCTTTTTAGCTTGATAATTACAAAAGGAATCTAGTAACTGATCTCTCTCTCCATCTTTATGCGGAAGATCACTCTAAAATTAAAGAAAAAAAGCATGTTTATAAAAATAAATATACCTTAAAAAAAGACGTAACAATTTTAAAATACTCACTGGTTGTTTCTTCATAACATCCAATCGAACTAAACTGATCTGAAGCTTTTTGCGTAAAGAAGGTTGCTGATAAAGAGCTTGCATCTATAGAATAAAATATCATTTTATCGATTTCATAACTAAAAATAATGATTTTAACGATTTTAGTTACAATTTTTGAAAAAGTTCGAATATTTTTTTGTGCGAAAGCAAAACAATTAGTATTACTCCGGTGCTTTGAGAGTTAAAAAGCAAAAGTTTCCCATTTTATTATGTAATGGTTAAGGGGCAAATGATACGAAATTGAAGATCATCAAATAAATTATTTGTCTTTATAATGTGTCAGGTTTTTTATTGCGAATCAAAGTTTATTCCAAATTGAAGTTATGCCAAAAGAAATCAACTAAAACATATACTGGTTGTCTTAATAAAACCAACTATTTGAAAAAATTTTGAGTTTTGTTTCAAAAACCAGTCAATTTATTCGCATCAGCTTTCAAACTTAGTTACATAGTTCGTAAATACGTTATATGTTCGTTCGTTCGGCCCTAGGAAACGCTATTAAGCAATGTTTTTAGAAAAGAGACGCCATTTGCAAGAAAAAATTGCACAGTTTAAGAACAAAATTAACGGACACCCTTGAAAATATTTTGTTTTATAGTTGAATGAAAGTTTAGTTGCTCCTGCCTGCAGCGCTATCTAATGACAAGCTTTCTAACTACTTTTGAATAAGAAGAAGACTAAATATCTTGTTTTACTAAAACGCAAGTCGCAGTCTATTTCAATTTTTGTTCCATTGATTTTTCAAGTTGAAATTCATTTTTGGAATTCCTAATAATTACGTTGATCAAAAACAAAATTCTCAGTTAAAATTCAGATGGAAATGTCTGAAGCTTATATAAAACACGAGAAGCAACTGCGAAAAAAAAATCAATAAGATAAAGTAAAATTCATGGTTACATTTAACTCAAATGAACAAACTATATAACGTAATTTTTTTTATTTATTAACTGCAAATACTTTCTTTGACATGTTATTGAAAGAGGCACTGATTTAAACCAAAACAATTCGATATAAATCAGGCTTTAGTCATTTTTAAAATCAAAGATTTTTTTCATTGGGGAGAAGGTTCGAATTTTCAATGAATTAAAATTGATTTCATTTTATTCTCTCTAGGTTTCCCGTACATCAAGAAGACTTTCAAACATTTGTATTTTAATAGATATAAATTGGAAAAAAATATTATTAATGTGAATATAGTATTGATTGTTTCTTTTTCTTTCTAAACAATTGAAAAAATTAACTTTTCATCCTTTTCGTGCAATGAAAAATAAATGAAGTACTTACGAAAAATTATAATATATGTTTCAGAAATTTACAATACGATTATTATAATAGATTAAGACAATCGTATTCTTTATTGTTTTAAAATGTGCCCTGACATTTACATTGATTTTTATTATGAAGAATGCTAATTTACATTCACATCTTACCTGATTAACATATCCCAGAAGTA